GATTGGAGTGGACTGGATTGGAGGGCCACGGTCGTTAACCCTCAGTATTTCAGGACTGATGTCTCTCTCTTGATTAAAACTGGTCTCGATTTACCAAACGATCATATATACAACCTCAACAGCACCTACAACCCTCCATCACACCTACAACCCTCCACCACACCTACAACCCTCCACCACACCTACAACCCTCCACCACACCTACAACCTCCACCTACAACCTCCACCTCCTCCACCACACCTACAACCCTCCACCACACCCAACAACACACCTACAACCCTCCACCACACCTACAACCCTCCACCACACCCACAACCCTCCACCACACCCACAACCCCTCACCCACAACCCTCCACCACACCCCACAACCCTCCATCACACCCACAACCCTCCACCACTACAACCCTCCATCACACCTACAACCCTCCACCACACCTACAACCAACACACCTACAACCCTCCACCACACCTACAACCCTCCACCACACCTACAACCCTCCACCACACCTACAACCCTCCACCACACCTACAACCCTCCACCACACCTCACACCACAACCTCCACCACACCTACAACCCTCCATCACACCTACAACCCTCCACCACACCTACAACCCTCCATCACACCTACAACCCTCCACCACACCTACAACCCTCCACCACACCTACAACCCTCCACCACACCTACAACCCTCCACCACACCTACAACCCTCCACCACACCTACAACCCTCCATCATGCAGACGACCCAGTCCTACACGTCTACATCTTTCATAAAGGGAATCAAATCCAACTTAACCAGCGCACGTACCAAGAGACTCTGACCATATGACACCTAGGAATAAGGTCTAGAATACTCGTGCATCCTTAAGGTATGCCTTTTGACGTGTTAGAATAGAATGGAAATATTGTATAGGGAAGAAATATTTGCGGGAAGAATATATTAGTTGATATGATGAAAGAAAATAAACCACGGATTTGGTTATGAATTTCAAGTGATTTATGTGATTGAGCACGATGGCTTAGCCTCTTGATTCCAGTGACTTAAACCCCTGATTACAATGTCAACCTCTTAGTACGATGATTTAACCCCTTGAGTACGATACCAGATAAAATACACACACACACACACACACACACACACACACACACACTACAATGAGATTAAATTATATTCCAACCTCAAACACACACTAAAAAAATAAAAACACGTATTGCTTGTAGAGTTTTATAATTATCGTTTTAATACACTGTAATCTTTTCTGTGTGTGTGACTGTGTGTTGGTCTAGAGTTTTTTGTGCCTCGGATAACACGTGATACCATTGTGTTGTCTTGTGAGGTTTTCAAACAATACCCCACAATATTGTTCTCAGTTCCCGGTCACCCGCAGTAAAGGGATATTTTTTTTCCCCCTTTGTCTTTTCCCCGCGAGTGTACAAGATTACCGTCATGATTTCTCTGTTATGGCGACACTAATACTTGGTTCCTGGTCGTGGTGATAAGGGTGATTTTTCTTCTTGTGTTCAGTGATTGTAATTTTGATAGTATGAGGGTGATTCAAAACTATTCTGGTCATTATTCAGTAGTGACCATACACGGTGTTCTATATTGATTTGTATATAAGAGATAGAACAAACAATTAGAATACTTTACAGCGTTTCAGGCGGGAATTTATGATTTTCGTTCTTTTAACTTTTCCATTTCACTTAACAAATTATCATATAAAGCCTGATCTAACCTAACCTAAACCATTACAGAAAACTTAAAAACGCGTAATATTTAAGGTGTCAGGGTTAACGAGCCGATTTAGGAAACTTTTCAGTAGATGAAAACTTCTTCAGTTTATCAAGAAAATCCCCAAACTGGCGACGGAAATTATTCTCTTAAAAATAAAAAGATCATCAAGAACCTAATATGACTTTCAAATATGAGTATACATGTCTAACCTAACCGAACCTAACCTAACCTCGCCTAACCTAACCTAACCTAACCTAACCTAACCTAACCTAACCTCACCTCGCCTCGCCTAACCTAACCTAACCTAACCTAACCTCGCCTAACCTAATCAAACCAAAGAACCCAGAAGGACGTAACCTAACCTAACCTCCTATCCATTCAAGAACACTACGTATTATTAACCAACATCCCAGCTGGCAGTTAGATACATTTGTGTTTCTCATATTGTACCGATGTTTACACTCTAACTCACCATTGTTGCCTTTTCCCTCTCACAGTTCACTCGGGCGTTAGTACACAACTCACAAGATAATCCTCTTCAATATGGATCAATTTATATATATATCTGATTTCTTCTCCTTCCAACAACCTTCTCTCCCCTCCTTCTCCCACTCTCTTTCACCCTCCCTCCTCCTCATCCTTACTCCCCCTCTTCTCCTTATCCCTACTCCCCTTCCCTACTCCCCCTCCCTCCTCCCGTTCATCAAGAAAAAAAAAAGACTTTAATCCTCTGAGGTTTTACACAAGTTGAATGCGATTAACATAACTTCTACAGCGTCAGGTAATTCTCTCAACACAATGAAAATTTAACGAGATATTTATAAGCCGTTTGTCACCGCCTCAATATACAGCGTAAATGATAAAACAGGAAGCTGGGAATTAAACCCCTTAGCTAATTGATTAAACACCCTAACACTACTTGGGGTTAGGTTAGGTTTAAGATACTCAATAGTAAAGTAAAATATAATGGGATGCTCATCTTCAAGTGATCAAAAAATTAACATTTCATCCAGCGAGCTACAAGAGGCCGTAAATATTCCTCAGCACATAATCTTAAAGGTATTACTCCAAGTCCCCCTCTCCCAGCTGCCACCCTCTTGACGCTGCCGCTGCTCACATGAAATATCTCACACAAGAGGTCTACTTGGCTCCCTCTTGAGAATTTCCTAAACTTTTTGTAGAAAGTTCTTGTGAATCTTTTAGTCGTGGGCTATATTAAGACATTGCAGGTTATGTAAGGCGGAGATGTAAGGAACTTGTGTGTGTGTGTGTGTGTGTGTGTCTGTGTTCATCTGTCCGTGTGTGTATGTGGAGTAAATCTGCTTAATATTTCGACAAAAATTTAATCAAGAGAGATCCTGACAAAGGATAAAGTATCTTATTTCTTGACCTACCTACACACACCCCACACACACACACACACACACACACACACACACACACCCACACACATCACACACACACACACACACACACACATCCACACACACACACACACACACACACACACACACACATACACACACCCACCCCCACACCCACACACACACACACACACACACACACACACACACACACACACACACACACACACACACCCACACACACACACACACACACACCCACACACACACACACACACACCCACACACATCACACACACACACACACACACACACACACACACACACACACACACACACACACACACACACACACACACACACACACACACACACACACACACACACACACACACACACACACACTCCCACACACACCTACACACTCTCCCCAACACCCACACCCTCATCAACAACACCATCAACACTATTACAATATATTATCACCATCATCACCATTATATCACCACCAATCACAGTAAAAGAGACAAGACACACCTGAGAGTCTTTCATAACACCTGTGGTAACACCTGTGGTAACACCTGTGGTAACACCTGACAGACGATGACAATATTTGAGAGATGAAATAAGGTCATTGTATATGCATCTCAGTGTGGTTTAATAAGGTAATTTATGTGTCTCAGTGGTGATTTACTCTCTCTCTCTCTCTCTCTCTCTCTCTCTCTCTCTCTCTCCTGCCTGACACAGTTCTTGTTTTTCTCCTTCTCTTCCTCTCTTAGTCTCCCTTTTCTCTTCTATTCGTGTTAATTGATTCTATCTTTTCTTATTTATTTTTATCGGTTTTTCTCTATAAGTTACCTGAGTTATTTTTGTGAGTCTAAAGCATTTGTTGTTTGTATACAGGATCTTTGTATAGATAACATGATTAACAGTTCAGGGTCATTCAGCAGGGTCGTTCAGTAAAGTCGTTCAATGAGGTCGTTTAGTAAGGTTATTCAGTAAGGTCGTTTAGTAAGGTCGTTCAGTAAGGTCGTTGCACGTATCTCAAAGGTGTCGTTGTTTACTGAGGAGACTAACACATCGTCTCTGGGTCGTTTGCGCCCCCGGGAAGTTTACGACCCGAGACAGACGACCACTAAGGTAATATTTTTATTCCTCATATCAGGAAGCTTACAGACGCTTACATCATTACTACTTTACGACAAAAAGATTTCCTGGCAAGACTTTTTTCCATCTTCTTAAGCTGTATACAACGCTCACTGTCTTGAACCTAACCTAACCTAACCTCTCGAACCTAATCTAACCTAACCTAACCTTACCGAAACTAACCCTACCGAAACTAACCCAACCCAACCAAACCCAACCCAACCAAACCCAACCCAACCCAACCCAACAAACACAACCCAACCCAACCCAACCAAACCAACCCAACCAAACCCAACCCAACCAAACCCAACCCAACCAACCCCAAACCCAACCCAACCAAACCCAACCCAACCAAACACAACCTAACCCAACCCAACCCAACCAAACCCAACCCAACCCAACCCAACCCAACCTTAACAGTGTTCTCTATGAGCGGGGTTATCAAGGGTGGCAGGGGACTGTATTGCCTGGTGTGCCACGTGCCATTATATTTCTGTGTGTTCTCTCCTCCCCCGTGACATATGAGCGCAGGGAATGTCGACTCATGCCTTTCCTATATCGTTTTCGGCGACATTCCACAAATTCCTCTACAGTTGGATATTAAAAAGATTATACACTTAATATAGACAATTTCTTTTAGCAATAGGATGCCTGAAATACATGTTAGACCATTTTGTGTATCAGAGGGAGAGTTTTGTCTTACTGTACACGTGTGTGGTAGTCATCATGGTAACTGTCTGACTGTGTTGCAGGACTGGACGAGGTGACAATGGCCCTGGCGTCGTGTGAAGCAGACGACTCCAGGTGGGCGGGGGAGCGTATCATGCTGAGCTGCCGTGGGCGCTGATGGCCACCCCGACGCCGCCCATGTCCCAGCTCTGGCTTAACACAAGTGTCGTTGCTGAACTGAGTGTCACAGAGGCTATTGACCTGACTACTGCTGCTGGGGAAGACGCTCCGGTGGGGAGAGACGAGAGCGGGAACGTGTCGGTAGGAGGCGGTGCAGGAGGGGATGCCGTGCTGGGGGAGAACGTGTCCGTGTTGGTGATCAAGACCTTTCTGATGGGAAGCATCATCGTGGTGTCGGTGATGGGTAACGTGCTGGTGATCGTCAGTATTGGGCTTCACCGCAAGCTTCAGGTTCTCACCAACTATTTCCTGGTGTCGCTGGCCATGGCAGACATGTTGGTGGCTTCCTGCGCCATGACCTTCAATGCTTCTGTCGAGATCTCCGGAAGGTGGCTTTTCGGCTACATCATGTGTGATCTTTGGAATTCGTTCGATGTATATTTCTCCACAGTGTCCATACTACATCTGTGTTGTATCAGTGTTGACAGGTACTATGCCATAGTTAAGCCCTTAGAGTACCCGCTCTATATGACTAAAGGGACGGTAGTGTTCATGTTGGCCAACGTCTGGCTGGCTCCCACACTTATATCCTTCATCCCGATCTTCCTGGGCTGGTACGCGACGGATGATCACCTGCAGCTCCGCGCCCTGCAGCCGGAGACCTGCACGTTCGAGGTTAATAAAGTGTACGCCATCCTGTCCTCGGCGTTCTCTTTCTGGATCCCGTGTACGGTGATGGTGGTGCTGTACTCGCGCATCCTGAGGGAGGCCAGGAAGCAGGAGGCAGCCATCTTAAGCCGCACCAACAGCACGTGTACCATCAACAACGTCCAGCGTCACTCCCCGTCATCCACTGCTCAACAGATCTTGGCAGCGTTTAGATCTTCCAATGGACCAAAACTGAGGAGAAACAAAGCAAAACAGAAATGTCAACAGGACTTCCAGCTCGGTCCTCTTCCTCGTATCTCGCGCTCCGACCTCAGCAACGACCAGGGGTCAGTGTCCGTGTGTGGGTCAGGCAGGATATATAACCAAAACCAATGTACAAATAGTAGAAAAGTTAATAAAAACTTTGTGAACGACACAGGTCAGTTAGGGCTGCCAGTCACACAGGAACACTCGAGTTCTTTAGAAGTGAGTCCACGAACAATAAGTCCTGACTTGTCTTATAACGAGGAGTCAGATGATAGAGTAGACATGAGCCCCAGCTCCAGGCCTCAACTCTCCCGCAGTAGTTCCATCAGCATCAACGGCCACACGGGGAGCGGCCTGCCCGTCAGGGTCATCAGTCCCGTTCCTTTCGGGCGACGGACGTCCATGATCCCCTCCGGCTTCGGTCTTGGGGGTGGCGGCAGCACCAGCAGCAGCAGCCACCCGGTGCTTCGACGAGAACACAAAGCAGCCAGGACGCTGGGCATCATCATGGGCGCCTTCATCCTGTGCTGGCTGCCCTTCTTCACGTGGTACGTGGCCGTCACCATCTGCGGCGACAGCTGCCCCTGCCCCCAGGCCGTCGTCACCATGCTCTTCTGGATCGGCTACTTCAACTCTACACTCAACCCGTTCATCTACGCCTACTTCAGGACAGACTTCCGGGACGCCTTCAAGAAAACTCTTCGGCAGCTGAAGTGTTGTAATCGTGATGATGACTACCTGGGCTCCTTCGTCTGACCCCAACAAGTCACTTCCTTCTGCTCCGTCGGGCTTTCATTTAACGTAAATATTTATGTATATTTCTCCCCTGAACACCACAAGGTTAAGGGAGTAACTACTGCTTTAAAGGTAATATTAGATCTTTATGTGAAACCATTTTGTTTACTAGTGTTCTGTGGTGACGTCATTCAACTGATTATATTCATTAAGGTAAAACAACCATCCAGGTCATACTGCAGACACTCTAGTTCATCTTTCCCCGACCCATTATCCTGAGTGTCTTTATTTTACGACATTATCAAAGCATTTCTTCCACTTATAAACAGTCCAATAATACTAAAGGTTTAAACGGAGTGAACTATATCGACCTCGGATGACTTAGCCCAGGAAAATCTAACAATTGTCTAACCTAACCAAACCTAACCTAACCTAACCTAACCTAACCAAGCTAAGTCACTCTGGGCCGGATAGAACGTTTACCGTGTAGAGCCAGCGTGTGAGGCCGGTGCTACGGTCCTCCTACTACTTTAAGGTGCAGGAGAGGTAGACGTAGAGACCAACCTCGTGAATAATGTGACCAATAATGAAGTAATACATAATATATATCACACACCGCAAATAACCACAAACGGTATTATCATGTGTCCAGGATCAAGGAATCGTTAACAATTATTAAATACAACAACAATGACCAATTCCCAGATATATCACCGCAGTTAACCACTCATAGCCAACTAACACCTGGAAAAAGTACACCTGTTATTAACCTTAATTAGCCATCACCTGTCTACCAGTACATTAGAACATTAGGCGATAAAAACTACTGAAAGATGTATCACTGTATTTAACAAAGTGATGAACACACATACGTTCCTCCATAACAACTAGTAAACATTAATACTCCACAAAAATATAAGTTACGAAAAATATATAACTGAAATATTCCTCATATACTGTTAACTATATCAGGTATAGAATAGTAAACCCGTTCGTACACTTTCATTATGATATAGAAAGTATAGATTCATGTATACAAGTTTACTTTGATAGTTTATGAACTTTTTTTGTTAAAGTAACTAAGAGAATATTTCCACCAGGTCAAGAGGAGAGAGTTCAGATGACGGGTGCAAGAGGTCATCAGAGGGTGAGAGTAAACTTTCAGTGCAAACTAAGAGTAAACTAGGAGTAAACTAAGAGTAAACTAAGAGTAAACTATGATTAAACTAAGAGTAAACTCAGTCTGCCTCGGACGGTATACAAATACTGGTGTGTGTGTGAGTGTATCGACAAAACCAAACTCCAGAACCTTTCCAGGAACTTGTTGAAGAAAAGTTTCTCCTAGTGGCTGGAATGGTACACACTGCCACACTCCCATCTCCTGTGACCTGCTGCAGAGTTTTTCAATCACGCTGAACATACGAGGAGATTGTTCACCTGATTTAAACAGTAGAAGTAAATCTATTTATTTTATTTGTGGAGTTATGGAGTTTGGAACTTGTGGAGTTATAGAGTTATAATATACAATAAAATACAATCATAGTTCCCAGCTTATACAATACCACCAGGTGATGTTACAGTGAATGATGTTTGACTCGCCACAAATGTTTATTAATATGCTGTATCGCCAAACATGAACTAGTGTACTGTATTGTGAAGTTACAGACCTGTCAAAAGTGAAATTAGTGATACTCTTCTGTAATATGACTATAGTTATAATGCACCATAAATTATCGATATACCATAGTATTACAAAAACAGAATTCAGTGACTACATCCCTGTAACGTAAAATTATAACGAAAAAAATGTTTTCTCCTAAGATGTGAAAAATTAAAATTAAATTGAGTTTTTGTTCTATATTCTGTTTATAATGATTAAATGTTAGTCGTTCTGGACCCCCCCCCCCCACTACAGCACTGGCAGGCTAGGTGGACTAGATGCATCGTGGGGCTGTGAAGCAGGAGCCCCCCGAGGTCATCTAGCTCTGTGATCTGCTTGCCTCGCTGTGAGTGTCCCAGAGCCTTATGTTCATCCATAAAACCAGACTGTTCACAAATGTTCACTTCAAAGAGATGGCTTTTAAGAAATTAATTATTATTATATATCTTCACAAAAGGTATTATAATGAACTAGTTATTGAAGTGTGTTTATTACAGATGATCTCGCTAGTACAGGTGTAATTAGGTTATATGTAAACAAAAACAGGTGCTAACTTGTGCAGGTGTTACTAGATAAAATAAGTTAAAATATAGTGAAGGTGTTAATGGTGAAAATAATATAGTGTGTTAAAGATAAAGATTTTTTGGACAAAATACAAAAATATACAAAATTTATGATACAGGTTAATACACTAGTACACTTTAATATACTAGTACAGGTTAATATACTAGTACAGGTTAATATACTAGTACAGGTTAATATACTAGTACAGGTTAATATAGTACAGGTTAATATACAGTACAGGTTAATACCAGTACAGGTAGTACAGGTTAATATACTAGTACAGGTTAATATACTAGTACAGGTTAATATACTAGTACAGGTTAATATACTAGTACAGGTTAATATACTAGTACAGGTTAATATACTAGTACAGGTTAATATACTAGTACAGGTTAATATACTAGTACAGGTTAATATACTAGTACAGGTTAATATACTAGTACAGGTTAATATACTAGTACAGGTTAATATACTAGTACAGGTTAATATACTAGTACAGGTTAATATGCTAGTACAGGTTAATATACTAGTACAGGTGTGTTGGACAAAACCAATCACGTATATAAAACAAGAGAAATGTCCACTGGTGCAGAAAATATTGGACAAAACTTAAGTGACTAGACAAAATAAAATATTTCTCAACAGGAGTACGAACCAACACCTCAATAAAACAGTATTATAAGACGTCTGGAATATTCCCGTTCCGGATCATTCCAAACTTCCTGTCTTACCACATTCCAGTCTTAAGTGTACTAGGGTGGTTAAAACAACATCTTCACTTAGCCAGTACTAGTTAACATATTAATACATATATTATCTATTTTCTATAGGTGTGTACGTGTGTAGATGTGTATGTGTGTGTGTGTCTGTATGTCTATATTACTGCGATTGTCTACTGTAATTCATCGTAGTAATTGATGTATTGTAAATATTATCTATACATGTGTGTGTGTGTGTGTGTGTGTGTGTGTGTGTGTGTGATCATCCCGTATACGTGCGTGTCAAGGATCCGAGAAATCGCGGATATAAAAAAATAATAATAATAATCTTTCTCTCAGGAGTCTTATAAGAGTCTTGTCTATAACTAATCTACACTGTTTTGCTCACACTACGATAATACTTAGATAAGGAGACGATAGAGTAGTTAGTACCCTTTCCCTTTCCATTCCTTCCCTTTCCATTCCTTCCCTTTCCATTTCCCTCCCCCCTCCCCCATCTCTCTCACCCCACCCTATGTTTATCTCAAAGATCCCAGACTAGAGGGAAGAGAAGCCCGTAAGAGAGACATACTGTATATCTAACTGTGATGAGAAACATTAATGAGAGGTGTTATGTCTCAGTTGACTGTTCGTGGGTCTTCATACAAGCTTGGCTGTGCTTTTTTATATCTCGTTTCAATTAAGGTATTTAGTGTATAATAGCTCCATATTGTTTACCCTAGTAGCTAATGATTGAGGAGTTGGTAATATTTTGTTGACGTAATCTTTTCTAATAATACTAATAAATGCTCAGAGAAATATGGAAATCAGCTCAACATAAAAACATGTATTCTAAATAGAGGCAAAAGCAATATTGAACAAGAAAGAAAAGACTCCACTTAAATAGATAACTATTATATCATTCATGAGAAATAACTCCACGTATCACAATATATAATTATCTAAGTGATGTTTTTGTCTGTTTAGTGATGTTGAAGAAAGATAAGAACATTTTAGACATATATCCATAAACTCGTCTGTTAATTCAGCTTTTCCAAGATTTCTCGTCGGTCATAAAGAGAAACTTTTTCACGGAGGGATTAACTTTAATCTATAAGTCTTCTAGGTTTATCTTCATTCTTTTTTAAGTACTTTAAAAGTCTTATAAAACTCCTCCGTATTTATGAAAACTGTGCGTCACTTTCATTAAGACTCCGCTGTTGTTTATCTCACTACAGAAAGAAATAAAATTTATTTATTGTACAGTCAACCACTAAAGTCCTGTTGGTCGCCTCTCTCCCTGAACCGCGAACCCCCGAGAGATTCAGACTCGTGAACCCGAAGCATTACCGGACAGAATAATGTATCAGTCTATTGCTTCTTAGGGTTCACGAGTCTGAATCTCTTGCGTTAGGTTCGTGGTTCAGAGTTAGAGGCTGAAACGACTTTACTAGTTAACTGTACATGTTAATATATATCTGCTTTAGGTGTCTCTATTATATTTATAAACAACCGATAGCCTATTATATCATCCCAGAGAAACAGCATAAGATTTTCATACATTATTGTTAATAGACACAAGAGTCAAGTGATGTTCAGTACGTACTTCCCTCACTGATCTTCGTATGAGAATCACCCCTCCCCCCCCTCAATGTTTACCAGAATCATGTTAATACAGGCTAGTGAAAAGAATCAGAGAATCAGTCAGTATCAACAAGCATCAAACTTCTATTTAATTAGTTTTGTGGTAATGAAGTTTGCAATAGAATCACCGGCAATATTGAATAGAATCAAGCTAACAGTTATAAGAATCAGCTGATGTGTATAAGAAGTAAGCCATTATTAACCCAAGAATCATAAGAATCAAAGCCAAGATTAATAAATGAAAAACAAAATTACATCAATAACTTTAAGACTCACAGCAATAAATAATAAAAAAAGAATTAGGTTTAATAAATCACAGAAATATGAAAAATCTAAATGAAACCTCTATTTAACGGACTATATTAAGCGGAAAGTTCGTTATATCAAGGGTCTGTCATATGTAAAAACTCCTATGTAATGAACTGAATAGATATGAAAATCCATTATATCGAGAGTCTATTAGATCTAACGGGTTATATATAGAGAGAAGTCCGTTATATGGAGGTTTCACTACAGCTAATATCTACAACCATAACGGCACTATAACAAAAATCATTGACCTATATAAGTTCTGTTCTCATATTATTACAAGATACAATATTACCATCAGAGTTTGAGGACACACACACACACACACACACACACACACACACACACACACACCCACACACACACACACACACACACACACACACCCACCCACACACACACACACACACACACACACACACCCAAACACAATATCTGACATTTCAGCACACTCAAACGGTGGATATTATCTGGCTTGAAATACAAAGACATTTAGTTTCTGATGATTAATAATTTTTAACACCTTTGATGTCGATAATTTTTTGGACATTGAGGTTTAATTTGATATTTTAATTGGAATTTTTTAATAGGTCAAATCACCCAATTAAACACACTTAACCTACATTCTGGGGGACATAAAACGACTTAGGAATTAGTTATGTTTTTTTTTAGTCATATTTAAATTTTGACTAAAATTAATCGTAAATCACATAAACATAATCACTTAGATAATAATGATAAGAAAGTTTGGAATAAAAATAACCGGTTTTGAAAATTATTACTTTGTATATGTGAAAAGTATTATGTAAAATACTTTATTGTTGAACAAAAATTTAGGCTAATTTATTGTGACGTCATGGTAGTTTATTGTGACATCATGCTAATTTGTTCCCATGACTAATTTATTGCTCGTGTGATTCTAATTTATTGCCCATGACTCTGATTTGTGATTCACTATGACGATCTACTTACGCTCCACATGTGAAGGACGATGGTTAAAACTATCATCCTTGAGGGGTTAAACCATTGATTCTAAAGGGGTTAAACCACCATCCAATAACACGAATATCCATGAGGGGTTAAACGTATGATTCTAAAGGAGTTAAACCACCATCCAATTACACTATCATCCATGAGGGGTTAAACCTATGATTCTAAAGGAGTTAAACCACCATCCAATAACACTATCATCCATGAGGGGTTAAACCATCATCCTAAAAATACTTAAAACATCAATCAGCCCATTAAGACAACATCCTCAAAGGATTAAACAGGAGTCAGGTACAGTAATTACAGGTTCAAACAGGTAGATACAATCAATGGTCTTGTGTCCACCTGGGGAAAATATATACTATCTGAACCGGAATTAAAGAAGTTTATTACACTAGTGTTTTCTGAACCGGATTTAAGGAAGACGTATATTTCAATTATGTTATCTGAACTAGAATTAAATCAGTATATTTCACTTGTTATCTAAACCGTGTATACAAAGAGTCATAGATGCTCTTTTGTTCTCTATCGTGTAAGATGAGATACCTTCAGCAACATACAACACTCAAACACACACCGTCCCAGAACCACGAGCTGAGCAATTGAAACATTATAGTCTAGAAAGGTTTTATAAACAGACTCTTTTATCATTATACGGAATATTTCATTATTAAACTGAAAAGTATAATGATATTCACATTATAGTGTTCCCAGGAGTCAAACATATGAAGAAATTAGGTATAATGATGTATAATGGAGATAATGATACGGAATTATACTTTTGATTAATGAGAGATTTTATACTGAGAAATAACAACTCAAATTACTTCATGGAAACTATTAACACTTTAACTCACGTTCAAAGTTACTAATTTGGAATCGATTTGTACTTAATGTGACATATATACCTTTACCTGTATCCACTCTTTGATTACCTTTAATTAGCGCTTTA